ATTGAGGTCCCCTGACCTTAATCCAATAGAGCACGTTTGGGATGCCCTTGGGAGAAGGCTTCGTGGTCTTAGGAAACAACCTCAGAATTTGCAGGAACTTGGCGCTGCCTTGCAAGAGCAGTGGCGCAGAATCCCCAACCACGTATTCACAAGCATCAGGCAGTCGATGAGGAGACGGTGTTTGGCAGTGGTGAATGCGCGAGGCGGCCATAGACGATATTGAACTGAGAAATTTCGCATTTTTATTCTTGTGACTTGTTTTGGAACGGCGGTGTAGCCTAATGGAACTAAATATGGCACTGTCAGTGTATCGAGTACATCACACAGATCTCAGCAATGAAATAATAACAATTTAACCATCTTACCATCTCTTGTTCTTTTATAATGCCCTGTAGAAAGAATGTGAAGTTTCTTTTTTGACTCAGTATATATAGCTGTTGACAACAACCTAACATGGCATCAACATGGCTGGTCTGCGTATATGTTGAGTTTGTTATGTCACGGAGATGTAGCCCCCACGTCCTATTTGACGGTTATCTTCACACTAAGAATGTCGAGAGACAGTCTTGTGTACACTGGAAGAGTGTTCAGTCAACATGCAGAGGAAGAGTCACAACTGTTGGCAAAGTTGTAAGGAATACGACAGAACATAATCACCCACCAGAGGATAGTCAGAAGGTCCGGTTTGTCAGCAACCTGAGGAAGAGAGCCAGGGAGGAGTCAACACAGATGCGCACCATCTACAACTACGAGCTCACCAACCTGACCAATGATGAGCCACGCACGATGCCATCCTTTCCATCCATGTGCAGCGCCCTGTACCGCCACCGCCAGAAGACGATTCCTGTTTTACCACAGACGAGATCAGAAGTCGACCTTCAAGATCCCTGGACGCAGACAGCAGATGGTCGACCATTCCTCCTGTTTGCTGACGGCGATGATGACAAGATCCTGGCATTTGGCACCCAAGAGAGTATTCAGGCCTTGCAGTCAGCCGAGAACATCTACATGGATGAACATTCACTGCCTGCCCTGCACTATGGAATCAAGTCTACATCATACATGCCAGACGTGGGACCACCACATATCCCCTCATCTTCGCCTTACTTCCCGACCGCCAGACGACGACCTACTCCAGACTCTTCAGACTCCTCAAGGATGAAGTTCAGCGGAGACTCAACATGCCGCTTGTCCCATCCTGTATCCAGACAGACTTCGAGTTAGCAGCAATCCATGCCTTAGAGACTGAATTTCCAACTGCTGTCGTGAAGGGTTGTTTCTTCCATTTCTGTCAAGCCATTTGGAGGAAGGTTCAGGATCAAATGATGATCACTCTTCATTAAAATCATTCTCTCAACCTTTTAGTTGTGTGTTGTTATGTCTCTTAAGTGGATTAGTCCATTGTGTGGAATAGGTAACAGGCAGTGGATTAACAGTGCAACAGACCGTAAACTATGTTGTTATAAGCTGTAGGGGTAGTGGCATGTAGGGGTAATGGGGGGTTACCTGTGGGCAAGGTGTTTGAGAGAGTGATGTTTAAACGTCTGTACAACTATTTTCATGCAAATCGATTATTGTATAAGTATCAATCAGGTTTTCAGTCTGGTCACTCAACTGTCCATCAATTAATTGAAATATATGATTAATTATTGTTGAAATTAGAAAAATAAGGAATTCATGGTTCATTGTTAAATTGGCTAGCAGATTACATAAGTAAGCGTTCACAAAGCGTCTTTGTAAATGGAGCCCTATCCAAGCCGGGGTATTTACAAGCTGGTGTCCCTCCAGGGTCAATCCTCGGTCCTTTCTTATTTCTTGTTTATGTCAATGATATTGCTGATGATTTAAACTGCTTGACAAGATTATTTGCTGATGATTGGTCTCTTCGCTTATCTTCTCATGATCGTCTATTCATTGAAAGAGATTTGAATTCAAACTTGGAAAGGCTGCGGTCTTGGGTGGCTTATAACATATAATCCTGATGAAACTGAGGCAATTATTTTCTCCTTGCAAAAGAATGTTGATGCACTAAATCTCTACTTTAACGGGGTTCGTGTCAAAACAGTTAATAATCATAAACATTTGGGATTAACATTTTCAAAAGATTGTAAATGGTCTGACCATATTGATAATATTGTAAAAATAACTTCAAAAATTATATCTTCTCTACGTAAACTCAAATTTTTATTACCGCGCTCTGTATTGAATAGAATTTACGTAATGTTCAGAAGACCCCATTTCGAATATGCATGTGAAGTATGGGATGGATGTGCTCAATATCAAGCAAATAAATTAGAACAACTGCAATTAGAAGCAGCAAGAATTGTAACAGGTTTACCTAAATATACTCATCATGAACATCTGTATGGTTGGGAATCTTTAGCAGAACGTAGGAGAAAGCGCAAACTTCGTCTTTTTTACAAAATACAGAATAATATGGCACCATCGTACCTTAATGATCTTGTTCCTGGGAACGTAGCATCTAAATGTAACTATAATCTTCGCAACTCTGATGATGTCTCACTTCCTTTCTCACGATTAAAATTTTCGTATGATTCGTATTTTCCATCCACACTTAGAATGTGGAATGAACTTCCAGTTGAAGTGAGAAAAAGCGTGTCATTGTTATAAAACATAAAACTGCTCCTCAATACTTTGATTTTGGACCGAAAATCACTAACATAATCCTTACAAAACTACGTTACATGTGTAGTCAATTGAATTATGATCTATTCCGTGCGGGTATAAGAGATAACCCAAGTTGTTCTTGTGGAAATGTTTGTGAAAATTCTTATCATTACCTATTTGACTGTCAATTATATACGGTACAGAGAACTACCATGATGACTAATTTACGCAGTGTTACCAATGTGAATATAACCTATGAGTTCTGACTGTTCACATAAATCAAAACATATTTAAAATTGTTCAAACAAATACTTGTCAATCAAAACGATTTTCTTAATTGTTGCAATTGTTCCTCTCTTTCCCATCTTTCTGTTCTTCTCTGTCCATCTTGTAGAATGAATGTGAAGACTATGTAAATACTACGGAGAGGGTGTTCTAAGTTGTATAACCTGTACCCAATCCTTTTCTCATGAATAAAATATGTTTAAAACAAAATAACTGACAAGCAATATAAAGTCTTAGAATAAAGACTTGAAATAGAATTACAACATTTTATCAGGTGAGACAGATAACAACCTCCGTTGTGTGTCATCATTCTTGCAGAGAGGCTTTAACTCGTAGTAAAGATGTTGGGATACGTCCCCACAAGTCAGCTAGCCCGAAATTGTGTGTCATGTTGACAGTGAGGCTTTAACTCATTGTACAGATGTTGGGATACGTCCCCACAAGTCAGCTAGCCCGCAATTGTGTGTCATCTTGACAATGAGGCTTTAACTCGTAGTACAGATATTGGCATACGTCTCCACAAGTCAGCAAGACTGCAACTGTGTGTCATGTTGACAGAGAGGCTTTAACTCGTAGTAAAGGTATTGGGATACGTCACCACAAGTCAGCTACTCTGCAACTATGTGTCATGTTGACAGAGAAGCTTTAACTCGTAGTACAGATATTGGGATACGTCCCCACAAGTCAGATTGTCTGCAACTGTGTGTCATGTTGACAGAGAGGCTTTAACTCGTAGTACAGATATTGGGATACGTCCCCACAAGTCAGCTAGTCTGCAACTGTGTGTAATCATGCTGGCAGAGAGGCTTTAACTCGTAGTAAAGATGTTGGGATACGTCCCCACAAGTCAGCTAGTCTGCAACTGTGTGTCATTTTGGCAGAGAGGCTTTAACCCGTAGTACAGATATTGGGATACGTCACCACAAGTAAGCTAGACTGTAACTGTGTGTCATGTTGACAGAGAGGCTTTAACTCGTACTACAGATGTTGGGATACGTCCCCACAAGTCAGCTAGTCTGCAACTGTGTGTCATGTTGGCAGAGAGGCTTTAACCCCTAGTACAGATATTGGGATACGTTCCTACAAGTCAGCTAGTCTACAACTGTGTGTCATGTTGGCAGAGAGGCTTTAACTCGTAGTACAGATATTGGGATACGTTCCCACAAGTCAGCTAGACTGCAACTGTGTGTCATGTTGGCAGAGAGGCTTTAACTCGTAGTACAGATATTGGGATACGTCCCCACAAGTCAGCTAGACTGCAACTGTGTGTCATGTTGGCAGAGAGGCTTTAACTCGTAGTACAGATATTGGGATACGTCCCCACAAGTCAGCTAGTCTACAACAGTGTGTCATGTTGGCAGATATGATTTAACTTGTAGTACAGATCTTGGGATACGTCCCCGCAAGGCCAAGCAGTCTGCTATGGCAAATATTTTAGTGATATCAAACTAAATTGACACGTTATTTTTACCGTACACATGTTGGTCGCTTGCAACAACTCAGATTATGTGCAGATATCGCAGAAAATGTTGTTTACTCCAGAAACAGTGTCATCATCAAGAGGAATTTAGTGACAAAATATTTTCTTCTTTGGTAATGTGAAAACGCGTTTGCGAATATTTTAGGATTTTGCAAACCTGCGTTTGCATTTTGCGTTACCAGTGTGAAGTCGCATTTGGACGATCTCACGTGTTTAGATTTCTCACCACCATGTTTGGATACGTATCAACAAAAAGAAAACAGAAACAGAAAAGAAAAACTTGACTTTGGATCCCATTGAATACCCCTGCTCTGTCTTTTACACTCTGTGGGTAATGCATACATAATAGCAAATTTGGTAGGACCACGCAATTGCTTTACGGGAAGGTTGTCCCGTTCAAGTTTCACAACCGCTGACGAACAAGGGTGCGTTGTAATGTTTTAGCTATTTTTATTTGTAACAGATAATGCGACAAGAATACGCCGATGTAGATCGTGATCGTGCGACATCTTCTACATATTCGGCAATTTACGTCTTGCGCCTACCAGTGGACAATGGACACAGGTTCAACACGTTTGTTTTTGCAGATGAAAAAGTAACAAAGTAGTATTGCTCCTAGTTTTTATTTACCAATCGGGCTGGTTTGTAGCGAGGCGAAAATCTAGAAGAAGAAAAATAATAATGATTAGTGTTCAAATTGCCATCATAAATATTGAATATCTGACTGCATGCTGAAGGATCAGAAAAGTATCTTGTCACGAGTTGAAGCGCCCCATTGTAACGCTGAAAGGCACGTAAAACCATACTCACTCACTCATTCACTCACTCACTCACTCTCACTTTTCTCTACTAGTAGCACATGGTCCGAACAAACAGACTCAGTGATAATATTTTTTCTTAAATCTTGTTTTAAATCTTTTATTTAATCTTGTATTACGGATTCGTTGTACGTAGACTGATTTCAAAATTGTTAAAATGACCTTGTTCATTTTCTAGGATAATCTACAACAGGGATAGGTCACTCGCTTGCTTTATTTACCATTTGCACTAATTAGCGTGTGCCTCGTCATGCTCCAACGCACACAGTGACTTGGTTCGTTCCCAGCGCAACTTCGGCTTCGATTAACAGTACTTCAGCCAGTTTATTGTATCAGTCGGAATTTTACAATGAATGAATGAATGAATAAATGAATTATAGCAAGAATTATATGTGAATGAATGACAGAAATAAAGAAAAAGAACAAAAGAAAGAAATACATATGTGAATGAATGAAAGAATTAATGATACACCACGGCCATCCCTCCCCAAACATATTAAAGAACGCAAAACTATCGCTAGAACACATGTGTTAACATCAGCTGTCCTTTTTAAAACAAATCTATTTTGAGCCATTTTTTACATTAGTAATTAATAATTCAGATATCTTATTGCATGTGTGGTATGGCATGGACATTGACAAAATGTTAACTGACACTGTCACACATCCCTCAAAAACAGAAAGTTTAAAACTATTACAAAGCGTTGTAAACACCTTTCCAGTTTTGTCAAATACTAAGATCAACAAGAAAGAAAGAAGTTTTAGAACTATAACACTCAAGCATCACAAGCACCAATGGCGTATCAGATCAGATCGGCGATATGTCATATTTTTTACACACATCAAATACACCCTAACAATTTTTAAATAATTATAAAACTATCCCTATTACTTGCAAACACCTTTCACCTGATGGTATATTCCCCTCATAAAAATTAAAGGTGTATGTGAAAGAAGTTCTTAGAACAATAACTAGAAACACTCAAACATCGCTGTGTAGTATTTCAATGGATGATCAGATCAGATCGGCGATATGTCATATTTTTCACACATCAAATACACCCTAACAATTTTGTAAAAATTATAAAACTATCACTATTACTTGCAAACACCTTTCAGCTAAAGGTATATTTCCCTTCTAAAAATTAAACGAATATGTGAAAGAAGTTTGTAGCGATAGAATTTAGTCTTTCTTCGCTGTGGACCGAGAATGTGAAGCCAGTGAGCTACAACATGCCGACTTGAAACTTTACTACAAATCTGCTGTACTAATAATGACACTAATGATAACTGTTTGACTTATAATGAAGTGACAGAATAGGTAACTTATCTTCTACATGTAGGTTTTCAGTTGTCACAACACTCAGCGAATGTAATCAGCTGTTGAAAATAAACCGGGCTCAATCTGAAACACTAAGCTGCCGCCATATTGGCTACACTAGTCACGTGACAAGCTGAGGGGCTTTTCGAGGAGTGACCACTCCCCGTTATATAGTCTCCCTGCTTAAACACTGAAATGTTTTGTTTGTTTTGTTGTAGTTGTTTGGGGGTGGGGGGTGTTGTTTGTTTTTTATTTTATTTTTTTTTTTATTTTTTGAGGGGGGTGGGGTTTAAAAAAGGTGAAAATGCCTCCTTGTTCGGTGTGCGATGATGACTTACCTGCTTGTACCTGGTGACGAATTCTGCGAGACTGACGACGCCATCACCTGAAAAGATGATGACATTGGTTTCCATTTGTATATCTGTGTTTTAAACATATTTTATTCATCTTACAACAAAGTACACAAGTGACAGACATAGGCTAGGATATGTACAACAGAAGTTAACTGAGAAAGCGTTTTGTTTGAGAGAGATAGATATATAGATATGTACATATTTGAAAACATTCTGGTTTTCAGTGATTGAGAGACCTGCATTGCCATGTAAGATAAGATTAATATCAATCAGTGTATATCTGTTGCTATGGCGGTGTGTATATATGCCGTGATATTGCTGGAATATTGCTAAAAGTCGCGAAAAACCTTACTCACACACTCGGAGCCGGAGGCAGTTAATGTTTAAGGTGTTGAAAATAAAGGGGATTGTCTCATTCGCCAGGGGTGCAACCAACGTTTGAAAGCTCAGGGTTTCAGAAAAGACGGATTTGTGTGTGTGTGTGTGTGTGTGTGTGTGTGTGTGTGTGTCTCTCTCTCTCTCTCTCTCTCTCTCTCTCTCTCTCTCTCTCTCTCTCTCTCTCTCTCTCTCTCTCTCTCTCTCTCTCTCTCTCTCTCTCTCTCTCTCTCTCTCTCTCTCTCTCTCTCTCTCTCTCTCTCACTTTGCAATGCGTGTTAGCGCCGCACGTCGCAAATATTCCAGCAACTTGACGCCGGTCTGTAGTTAGGTATATAGTCGATTCTGGACAATCCAGTGACTACCATGGTGAATATCGATCTGACCACCCTATCTCGTATGTCGCAGCTCATGACAGGTAAGGATTACTGAAGACCTGTTCACCGCGAGGACACGTGTTCATAGTCAAGGTCAAGGTTCATTACCGTCGGTGTCGAATACCGCGGTGACGTTGTTTACAGCGGTCCTCGGGACGACACCGTCGTTGTCGGCGTCAATATTCTTGAAAACCCCTTGAGCAACGAATTTCGGTGCGTTAGTACTAGTTATGTATTCTGCCATTGTCATGTTGCCATCATCTGAAATTGAAAGACATATTGTACTTAATGATATTCAATAACAAAAGATTACAAAAATCGAGTTGGGCGAGCTGGCTAAGGCGCCAGGCTAGTGATCCAGCGAGGTTGAGGTGTCGGGATCGAGCCCACCTGTGACCGGGTGTAAAAACCTTGGAGTCAACTTTGTGTGCAGACTCTTTCAGTGTTGTCACAACCCCTAGTGTACAGTACACAACCCTGTGCACTTAAAACAAACCATGAATCTGCTGATATGACCAGATGGTGGCCACATGAATACGTGCAAACACCTAGCTGCCTGGATATGTGCGCTATAATAATATCCTACAACTATCTAAAGCTGTACTGTGAGTGTTATGTCATGTGGTTCTAAATTAAAATGGCCTGGCTAAAGTTAAATTTTGTACGAACGTAGACTAATATGTTTTTCAGATAGCCATGAAGAAATTTTGTACTAATGGACTGAATTGCTCCGTAGACACCCGTCCACACTGCATCCTGTTTAATGTGGATCCTGTTATTCTGGAATATCAACTTTCCTAAAGATTGTTGCTGGGAACATATCACGTGACATAGTACAGACCGGCAGGCCTGACATGTGTGTCAGCCTGATTTCCAGGGGACGACATTGTCCGCAAGCATGGTTTCCAATCCCTTCGTTTGTCTCCCCTCGATGGTTCCGTGGCAAAATAGGCCTCAAGCATTGCTTGCAAGAGTGACAGTACATGTATATGATACTGAGATTGTCTCGTGTATTGTGAAAACCATATGTTTTGGAACAACGAATTGTAAATCATAAATCGTCAAAACCTACGGTTGAGGTCATATTTGTCAAAAATCTTCAGAAATTCTGAAACGTCAGCAGTGCCGCTTCCATCACTATCGATTTTGTTGAAGGCTTGCGTGAGACCGGTCGTCAAGTCCGGTGCAGTTCTAAAACAAATAAAACAGTGAACAGAATAATTAGTATCGACACCTACATGGACAATAAACAACACTTTTAGAATACTGACACCTACATGTTACAGTAAACAGCATAATTAGCGTATCGACACCTACATGGACAGTAAACAACACTTTTAGAATACTGACACCTACATGTTACAGTAAACAGCATAATTAGCGTATCGACACCTACATGGACAGTAAACAACACTTTTAGAGCGCTGACATCTTCATGCTACAGTAAACAGCATAATAGGAACGCTGGCACCTTCATGGACAGTAAACAACACTTTTGGAAAATTGACACCTACATGCTACAGATGTATTATTACTTATCCATAAATATCGAAGAGGAAACTTTGAGAAAAAAATGATCTAAATATCTGAAATTGATCAACACATTCCACATCAATGATGAGTGGTGACATATGTAGGCCCTGATTGCCAACAAAAACACCGTCCTCAACGAACTTTAGGGGCAGCCCATTAATAAAGACTATCATTAATAATTCCCATCGACGATGTGGAACTTACATTGGGGCGCAGCCCGTGAATATAGACCTAACTTTGGGTATTTTCTGAGTAATATTATCTTATCACAATAGTTTATTTACGATATTATCGATTACAAAATTTTCTCATCGCTAAACGTTAATAATGATTCCTATCGCCGATATTTCCGATTACCGATCTTTTTAGTCTGCCCAAGCTCCTCACACAGCATGAACTTACGTTGGGGCGGTAGCGCTTAGAGCACCGTAAGCGAAAGTCAGCACAAGAAGGCAAATCATCCTGGAAATCAAAGATATGGAAAGTAAGTAAAACGAATGTTCCTTTGAAAAACAATCAAATATATCTGTTTTCAAAAGTTTCATATTTTTTAACAATAAAATTAACTAAAAAAACATGATTGTTGTGTGAGTTTTAACGGTATTTCAGTGATGAAATGGATCGTCAGTTTGGCGTTTGAGGAAAGTTAACAACGATTGTGAATCTCCCGATATGTTGCAGACAAACCTTGAAACATAATGAGGGAAAATCCAGGGTTCGAACCAACGATCATAGGATTCTGGCACGCTAAAGAGAAATAACTTCGCATGACCCACTCGTTCCCCGTATATATAAAGCTGCTTACAGAACGCTAGCGCTGACATACGTATGTATGTTATGTTAACACATCGATGTAATTTGGAATTTGGTAAAATCGAGGTATCCGTTTAATTACATGTTATCTCTTTTGCAAATAAATCCACTTAACAGGTTTGTTCAAAACGTGTCCATATCCCAGTAATAAAAACAATGTAGGAGCATTTAGGCATCAGGTACTAAAACAACATACTTTAAACATAACGCATTTCAGTATCAAGAGCCATGGATAACCTTTGTATTCTATCTCTAGATATGCTCAAGGTGTCAATGTGACTTACCCGATTAACGTCCAAAAGAAGTGGCAACAAGAACAACGAACAACGGGTGCTGTTAGTGACCTATCCTACACACGACCCTGCCATCTGACCACGATAAGGTGAACCAATCTTAGAAAAGACAAGCTGGCATCTCCCACGACTGAGGCATAAGTATATTTGATCCTTATCAGAGTGTCTGAAGAATATATAACAAGATATATATATTTACCTCAAGAGGTGAGTGAGTATTATCGCCATATTGCTTGAATTATACATATAGATCTTAATTTAATAATTTATTGATGGTTCAAATATTTGATTTTTTTTGTTTTGTTTTGTTTTGGTTTTTTTAGTGTTTCTTTTTGTATTTCCACCCATATTATTCATATTTCTCCATACAATGATACATTGTCAAAAAGGTATAAAGGTATCCACTTCATGTTAAACTTGTTATATATATTTTCAACACTCTGTACATTCTCAAAATTAATACTTCAATTTCCACTTCATATTTAAACTGTTACAAACTCATGGAAGCAGACAAGGAAATGCCAAAAAGTACAGGCGCCCCAATATTCCCCTCCAGAATTTCACCCACGGTGCAATACAAAGGTTGTGAAGAAACCTGAAGAAGAACAGAGGAACATCCGCACCCCCCGGCGCGCCCCCATTCGCCTCCATGAGCATACACACATACAATACACACACACACACACACACACACACACACACACACACACACACACACACACACACACACACACACACACACACATATTAAATATAATATTTATATATGTAAAACATGTAAAACATGCTTCATGTAAAACATGTTACATATACAATGTTTGCCGTAAGTTGTCGAAAGTACAAACATATAAATATGAGCAGTAATTTCCTCTTCTTGTTAAACATATTGTATATACAAACCTCTCCATATGTAAAGATAGTTTATCTAATTGTATTAATTGTGATAATGACATGATCTATATATATATATATATATATATATATATATATATATATATCTTTAACTCAATAAATAAATTCAGGTTTTCTTAATAGATTATGGAATGATGACCAGAACGCATAAAACTTGTCATTTGTACATCATGAAAAGGCACTATATTTTGTTGCCTCATAATATCTGCTTATCTCCCTTTGTACGTGCTGGAAATTGGGAATTGCTCCTTTTGCCTTTTGGGAATATGACTTGTTTACCAACAAGACATATGGCATTTAATGAATTATTATTTCATCCCTTAAATCCAAGCAAGATATTTTCTGAATTAAAATTCAATGTTACCTTCTGCTACAGTTTTAAGCCATCTTGTTAAATCATTTCATATTTATGTTACGTAGTTACATTCACTGAAAAGGTGAACAGTTGTTTTAGGTTCTTTTGAACAGAAGGTGCACAAAGCAGTTTCTTTCATGCCAATTCTATGTAAAAAGTTATTTGAAGGCAAGATGTTACATAGTATTTTCATCTGTAGAAATTTTAGGTTACTACTTCTGGTACATCTGTTTCCCATCATGTTTAAAAAAAATTATCATTTCGCTATCATATTTTCTTTCAAAGGGTTCTCCCACTTTTTGTGTACATATGATTTTTCGTAAGTTGGTTCTAGAAGGCCCGGAGAGATAGAAGTATCTGGTACCCTTGCCGTTATTGATAAGTTTTGATATATTAAAAGGCATTATTGGAGATGTGGGTAAGGGGTCTAAATGAAACTATTTATGATGTTTCTTCAAACATGCTTTAATAGTTGATTTCTTGCTTTGATATCTAAGGACATTTATCTTGATGTTAAAAATATCCCGCAGTTCATCATCTGTATAAAATTCACCTGTATTTGGGTTGATCAAATCATAAACAAAGTGAATCCCTGCATTTTACCAATTTTTAAATAAAGCCGTTTTGTTACCCACTTTAAATAAGGTATCATACCAAAGAGACTGATTTCGAAAATCCGTTGCATTTAATGACTTGTACTGTTTGTTTAAACGCAAGCTATATGCTATAGCTACATCTTTCCAGAAAGTATTTCTTATGTTAGGGACAATATTATTTGTTATGTATTCAGGGTTGGCTAACCATAGTTTGTTATGATTTGGTATGCAGTTATCAACTAGTATCCTCCATTTACAATTGCTGGCATAAAATCTTTTTATCCATGAGATTTCTTGCGCATTAATAATATCCTTCACAATTGGAGCACTTGTTCCACCATATTCAGATGGCATAGATAATGTTTCCCTTTTAATCTTATCCGGTTTAGATTTCCATATAAAACTGGAGCACTGTTTTTGGAATGACTTAATCAAATCGTCTGGCGGTGATGGAAGAGATGAAAATATATGATTAAGTTTTGAAAGTAATAAGGATTTCAGTACTACATTTCTTCCTTATGTGAGTGATTGTTCGGTTTGACCATATATTCATTTCATTTCCTATTTTCTTAAATTTTTCCTCATAATTTAATTTAATCATTTCGTCAAAGTCAACATCAAATTCAATCCCTAAAAGTTTAAATTTACTTTGTGTGCAATCTAAGTTCCAATCTTTACAAAGCTTATGCCTGTATCTCTTTTTTGAGCCTATCCAAATCAGTCTTGTCTTGTCAGCATTCACTTTCAGACCAGAGAATATTGCCAAAAATGATAGGGTATTCAGCAATGCATATAGACTACTTTCACTACTACCTTCTAAAGGAAGGGTGTTATCGTCTGCAAATTGGGCTAAGATGAATTCTATATTTCCCTTTTAATACCCTTTATACTTTTATTATTTCTTATAAGTATACCTAGAATTTCAGCACATAAAATAAAAATATATGGTGAAACAGGATCTCCCTGGCGACAGCCCCTACTTACTAGGAAGAATGAACTAGCAAATCCATTTACAAGTACACTTGCAGACATTAAGAAAAGTCCTTATCCACCTTTGAATACTTGGTCTAAATTTGAAAAAATTAAGTAGGTTTAATATAAATTTTCGGGCCACTGAGTCAAATGCTTTTTCAAAGTCAATAAGGACTAAGAGACCTGGTATTTGGTAAGATTCGGTATATTCCATAAGGTCATATATTAATCTAGTGACTTCGCCAATATATCGACCTGGTACAAATCCTTTTTGATCTTCATTTATTATCAACGGTAATATACTTCTTAATCTATTAGAAATAGCTGCGGATGCTAGTTTATAGGAAGTGTTCAGAAGTGAAATTGATCTCCAAGTTTTCAAATACATTTTCGGTTTATTATCCTTAGGTATACAAGTTCTCAGTCCCTGTTTCTGTGTCACAGATAAAGTTTCATTATTATAAGCAAAGTTTAGTGAGTTTATCAAGAATCTGTTTAGATCATTCCAAAAGAATTTTAGGAATTCTCGTCATTTTTCATTTTGTTAAGGCTTCAAGAGTTTCTTCATTAGTTAGTTCTCCTTTTAAACTTGAGGCAATATCATCGTTTAACTTTGGTATTTCATATACTTTAAACAATGAATTTAGATCTAGTTGTGTGCAATTTTCACTTGTTTATAGTTTTCTATAGAAATCTTTAGTTTCCTTCAGTAGTTCCTCTTGCTCTTTAACTATCGTTATCATTTCTTTTAATTTCTGATATAGAATTATTTAGAAAATTTCTAAATTCTAAATATAAAAAGTATCTGCTTGTTTTTTCACCTTATTCAATCCATTTGGCTTTGGATCTAATAAATGCTCCTTTGGGGTTTTTTTCTTCGAAATCATTAAGTTCTCTCTTTATATCATCTATTGCTTTGAGAATCTCGTTTGTTTATGTTCCGAATTATCATTTGTGTCTAGTTTTACTTCCATTTCATACAATACATTCTCTAGGTTATTTATAGTATTAGCATCTTTCTTCTTTTCAGTGGAGGTATAATAAATTGTTAGTCCCCTTATTTCCAGAAGAATCAATTCCCATCGGAGTTGATCGTTAATGACATATTTTGAACTTTCTTCCTGTTGATTTTCTTTATCTGTTTCGTAACATTTTTAAACTTTTACTTCATATTTTTTCTTTAACTAGTTGTACATATTCTGGATCATGTAACAAAGAATTGTTGAACTTCCAAAACCCTTTACCTCTTTTCACCTCAGATAGGGATATTGAAATTGAAATAACAGAGTGGTCTGAGTGAATACTTGGGCTTATATTTGTATGTATAACTTGCTGAAGTAGGTTATGTGAGATTAAGTAATAGTCCAACCGAGCTTGTTTCAGTGGTGTAGGCTGTCGCCAGTAAATCTTTTTTCAAAGGGGTAAGTTTCTCTCCAAGGGTCCTTCAGATCAAGGTAATTCATCATGCCTAATACCGTTTCTCTAGAGTTTGGGTTATTTATAATTTTATAGGTGAATGTATCTTTTAACTGGTCTCCACATATTATAATTCTTTCTCCTAGTAACTGTTCAATATGTTCCTTGGTTGTATTAAAAAAGGTTGGTGTAGTTTGATTCTTAGTACAGATGTTGGGATACGTCACCACAAGTCAGCTAGTCTGCAATTGTGTGTCATTTTGGCAGAGAGGCTTTAACTCGTAATACAGATGTTGGGATACATGCCCACAAGTCAGCTCGTCTGCAATTGTGTGTCATGTTGAAATCAGCTGCAGGTGGTCAGGCTTAGATCAATGCTCGCGCTGTTGATCACTGGGTTGTTTGGTCCAGACTCGATTATTTACAGACCACCGTCATAGTGCTGTTGATATTGTTAAGTGTTGTGTTTAACAACAAACAAAATAGACAAACATATTATGAAGGATATGATTGTCACGTGTTCACGGTAACTGTGTGAGATGGAGATCCAGTGTCATATTACGAGAGGTATTTTCTTCTTATGGTGGCTAATTATTCAAAACCATCAAATAGCTGCAAATGTGCTGATACGGCGTTAAATCATGTTAGCATGTGAACATATAATGGTATCCACATTCAATACCACTGAAGAGCAATATAAAGTCTTCGAATAAAATTACGACATTTCTATCTGGTGAGACAGATTACATCATTCCAACGCCTCTGCTGTGTGTCATCATTCTGGCAGAGAGGCTTTAACTCGTAGTACAGATGTTGGGATACGCCCCCACAAGTCAGCTAGTCTGCAACTGTGTGTCATGTTCACAGAGAGGCTTTAACTCGTAGTACAGATGTTGGGATACGTCCCCACAAGTCAGCAAGACTGCAACTGTGTGTCATGTTGACAGAGAGGCTTTAACTCGTAGTAAAGATATTGGGATACGTCCCCACCAGTCAGCTATACGCCGATGTAAACTGTTGATCGTGATCCGTGCGACGTCTTCTATATACATTTTTGTATTACGCCTACAGGTGGACAATGGACACGACACAGCTGAGACATGTTTGTGTCTGCCAGAAGAAAAAGTAACAATGAACTGTTGCTCATAGTTTTTATTTACCAACAGGAGGGTTTGGTAGCGAGGCGAAAATCTAGAAGAAGAAAGAAATGATTGAAATTAATCATTTGTGTTCAAATTGCGCTCACAAATACCGAATACCTGAGTTTGCATGTTGAAGGGTCAGAAAAATAACGTGTCTTGAGTCGAAAAGATTAGGTACCTATCTTTTGGTATGGGTGCGTCACGTAACGCTGTAACTTCATGTTGGGCGTTATAGTACATTGTGGAACTATTAGCGGCGGTGGGGTAGCCTAATGGTTAAAGCGCCCGCTCGTCACACTGAAGACACGGGTTCGATTCCCCACACGGGTATAACGTATTGAGCCCATTCCTGGTCTCCCCCGCTGTGATAATCCTGGAATATTGCTAAAAGCGGCGTAAAACCATACTCACTCACCCACTCGCTTGTCTCTACTCGTAGCACAGGGTCCGAACAAACAGTGATAACATGTTTTTAAATCTTGTGTTACGGAATTGCATAAACTTAGACTAACTTCAAAATTGCTAACATGAACGTGTTAATTTTCAAGCTTAAACACTGAATTGTATTGTTTGTCATTTTTGTTCAAAAAGGTCAAAATGCGTCCTAGTTCGGAGTGCGATGATGACTTACCTGCTGGTACTTATTGACGAATTCCGCGAGACTGACGACGCCATCACCTGAAAAGATGATGACATGGGTTTGTTTGGGTTGTTAATTTGTAATTCCTTCAAGTTTTGTCACGTTCGGCCACGTTTGTTTTGCGTTTTGTCCCGGTTGTTTCACCCTTGCTGCCCGTTTTGTCCCAGTTCTCACGGCAAGCTTGGTTGTATGGTAGCCGATTCGTCCTGTTCCATCACGAGGCATCCAGGCGTGTGACGGTTTACAGGGCAGGCGAAATACGGCACGTTGCGTCCTCTGGCATTTCCTCTCTGCAGCCGATGATCGCCTTCTTCCTGCAGTTGATGATCGCCTTCTTCCTGACGCAAGGACTAGATGTATGCCCGTAGCAAACTTACAAACGCAAAATAGTCTTCATCTTGGGGGTTTTATGCTGCGCTTATGTCTCAGGATACAATGGCTGCTATTACTTGGGAGGCCTTTTTTATACCGTGGACAGAAAGCTGGCCGGCATCCACGTTTCATCCGTAGCAAGTCTTGACAGAACGCGCAAAATGTGTCAAAACCTTGATCAAAACGTGAGAAACGTGAGGGAACCCATCAGAACGCGACAGGCCGGGAGGAAACGTAATGGCATCCGTAGTGGACGGCGGGCCGAACCGTAGTGCGCCTTTGAGCTTCCGGGACTCAGCAGCCTGTGTTTCCCAACAGCCCATCACGGATACCGTGATAGACCTTGAGAAAACTTAGCAGGACCTAACAGAACTTGAGTTTGGAGGAAAAACGGCCAAAACCCATGGCGCACTACGTTTCGGGGAAACGAGGCTGTCGTGGCCTCCGGGGACATAGTGTAACCCTAGCACAACGCTGATGACCCGGGTTCGATGACCCGGGTTCACTCATGACCGGCTAAATCGTCGATTCTGGATAAGACAATCAAGTGAGTCACATCGTGAATATCCATTTGACCACCCGATCTCGTATCTTTTGACAAGCATGGGTTGATGAAGACGTGGTCATAGTCGAGGTCAAGGTTCATTACCGTCGGTGTCGAACGCGGGGATGACGTTTTCTGGAGGACATCGTCGTGGTAGGCGTCAACAAGCATGGGTTGCTGAAGACGTGGTCATAGTCAAGGTCAAGGTTCATTACCGTCGGTGTCGAACGCGGCGACGACGTTGTTTACTTCGGTCCTCTGGAGGACATCGTCGTGGTCGGCGTCAACAGGCTTGAAAACCGCTTGAGCAATGTATTTTGGTACCTTATTAACACTCATATACTCGGCCAATGTCATCTTGCCATCATCTGAAATTAAAAGACATATTTTAATTTATGATATTCAATAACAAAAGATTATAACTATCTTAAGCTATGTCGTGAGTGTTAAGCAATTTGGTTCTAAATCAAAATGGCCTGGTTTAAAGTCCAGTTTTGTGAAGAACTATACTAATATATTTTCCGGGTAGTCATGGAGGAATTTTGGTGTACGAGTACTAATGAACTGGGTTGCTCGGTAGACATCCGTCTATAGTGCAACCTTTTAATGTGGATCCTGTCCTTCTGGAATATCAACTTTTCTAAAGATTGCTGTGTGGAACATATCACGAGACATAGTATAAATTTACGAGTCGGGAGACCTGATAGGTGTGTCGGCAAGGATATTTTACAGTGAGTGAGTGAGTTTAGTTTTTTAGCAATATTCCAGCAATATCACGGCAGGGGACACCAAGAATGGGCTGCACACATTGTACCCATGTGGGGAATCGAACCCAGGTCTTCGGCGTGACGAGCGAACGCTTTTACCACTAAGCTACCCCACCGCCCCCTTATATTTTACAGTGAAGAGCGGCATTAGTACGCTGTCGCTCGTGAAACCGTATCTTCCCCACGATGTCATTCTAAATCAACGGATACAATAAACCTGTCCATGTATATATTACACAGTCGAACTGTGGTGCTACACTCTCTCTTGGTGACTCATTTCGTCAACACATAAGAACGGTGGGGTAGCCTAGTGGTTAAAGCATTCGCTCGTCACGCCGAAGGCCCGAGTTCGATTCCCCACATTGGTACAATGTGTGAAGCCCTTTTCTGATGTCCCCCGCTGTGATATTGCTGGAATATTACTAAAAGCGGCGTAAAGCTAATCTCACTCCGAGAAACATGTCTCCGAACCCTTCCTTTTGATTCCGTGGCAAATTAGGATTTATATTGATTGCGAGAGTGATAGTATATGTTAGAGAGATTGTCTCGTGTATTGTAAAACTCATGTTTTGAATAATGAGTTGAAAATAATAAATCCTCAAAAGATATTCTGAACAAAACCTACGGTTGAGGTCATAATGGTCAAAAACATTCAGAAATTCTGAAACATCAGCAGTGCCGCTTCCATCACTATCGATTCTGCTGAAGGCTTGCTTGAAAGTTGTCGCCAAGTCCGGCGCAGTTCTAAAAGAAATTAAACAATGAACATCAAAAATAGGATATCGACACCTACATGAACAGTAAACAACACTTGTAAAATACTGACACCTACACCGACAGTAAACATCGCTTTTAGAATACTGACACCTACATGGACAGTAAATAACACTTGTAAAATACTGACACCTACATGAACAGTAAACAACACTTTTAGAAAACTGACACCTACATGGGCAGTAAACAACACTTTTAGAATACTGACACCTACATGAACAGTAAACAACACTTATAGAATACTGACACCTACACCGACAGTAAACATCGCTTTTAGAATACTGACACCTACATGGACAGTAAATAACACTTGTAAAATACTGACACCTACATGAACAGTAAACAACACTTTTAGAATACTGACACCTACATGAACAGTAAACAACACTTTTAGAATACTGACACCTACATGGGCAGTAAACAACACTTTTAGAATACTGACACCTACATGGACAGTAAACAACACTTGTAAAATACTGACACCTACATGAACAGTAAACAACACTTTTACAATACTGAAACCTACATGGGCAGTAAACAACACTTATAGAATACTGACACCTACACCGACAGTAAACATCGCTTTTAGAATACTGACACCTACATGGACAGTAAATAACACTTGTAAAATACTGACACCTACATGAACAGTAAACAACATTTGTAAAATACTGACACCTACATGAACAGTAAACAACACTTGTAAAATACTGACACCTACATGAACAGTAAACAACACTTTTAGAATACTGACACCTACATGGGCAGTAAACAACACTTTTAGAATACTGACACCTACATGAACAGTAAACAACACTTTTAGAATACTGACACCTACACCGACAGTAAAACATCGCTTTTAGAATACTGACACCTACATGGACAGTAAACAACACTTGTAAAATACTGACACCTACATGAACAGTAAACAACACTTTTACAATACTGACACCTACATGCTAAAGTAAACAGCATAATTAGCGTATCGACACCTACATGGGCAGTAAACAACACATTTACACGGACACCCACATGGACAGTAAACAACACTTTTACACTGACACCTGTACAAGCTGCAGCGAACAACAATAACAGATATCGACACAAACAAACAAAAATGGCATATATTTTTATGTGAAACATCGTTTTAAGTCGGCTTGATTTCAGTCATACTACTTTGGAATCCGGCATTTCGAGGGGCATCAATTTATTCATCTGCTTAGGTTATATTGTCGAAATGCCCTATCGGCGTACCATTCTAAATGATACTACAGACAACTATAAAGTAACGAAGACAGATATCACAAATGTTTGCAACATAGTTCAAATCCCAAGGTGGTGTTAAACGTTAATGTTGAAAGAATCACGTAAAATGAACCGGTGGTGTGTCTGTGGAGTTCGATACATCCGGATTTAGTTTATTTAGAATGGTTTAGACTTTGACAATCGACCATAAACGTTGATCTCTATCTTTTCTCTGGCTGACTGGCTGGCTATCGATATATATCACAGAGATCGATCATCGTTAAACGAATATTGATCGATTATCGATAAAATATCGGAGAAGTAATTTTGAACAAAAACGACTAAAACTCTTTAATAAGGCTCGGATTACCAACAAAACCGCAGCCCTGAACATACTTTAGGAGCAGCCCGTGAATATAGACCTAACTTTGGGTATTTTCTGAGTAAATTTAAACATTATCTTATCACAATAGTTTATTTACGATATTATCGATTACAAAATGTTCTCATCGCTAAACGTTAAGAATGATTCCTATGGCCGATATTTCCGATTACCGATCTTTTTAGTCTGCCCAAGCTCCTCACACAGCATGAGGTGAGGTGAGGTGAGGTGAGGTGAAATTGGGTTTAACGTCGTGCTTGAGAATATTTCGCTCATATGACGACGTGCATGCGTGTGTATGTGTATGTGCGGCTGCTTGTACTAGCCCAGACTTAAGCTGGGTTTATAGTGCTAGCCCACTGAGATACCATGCCGCAGTGAGGCATGAATATCCCACTCAGACACATTATACTGACTCCGAGCCGACCAGTCCTTGTTGTACCCATTAATGCCGAGCGCCAGGCAGGAACCAACAAGTACCACATTTTAACGTCTTTTGGTATGACGCGGTCGGGGATCGAACCCGCGACCTTCTGCTCTCCGGGCGGACGCTCTAACCACACCACCACGGCGGCGGTCTTCCTCACACAGCATGAACTTACGATGGGGCGCTTAGTGCACCGTAAGCGAAAGCCAGCACAAGAAGGCAAATCATCCTGGAAATCAATGAAATGGAAAGTAAGTAAAACGAATGTTTCTTTGAAACAATCAAATATATCTATTTTCAAAAGTTTTATATTTTTAACAAAAACAATATTGTGTGCGTTTGAACAGTATTCATGTATGTATGTATGTATGTATGTATGTATGTATGTATGTATGTATGTATGTATGTATGTATGTATGTATGTATGTATGTATGTATGTATGTATGTATGTATGTATGTATGTTAACATATCGGTGCAAATTTGTTACAAGAAATCGAAGCATTTGTTTAGTTTTTATTTAACATTATCCCTTTTGTTGCTCCATATCCACTTATAAAAAACTGTAGACGGCATTTAAAGATTAGAGATAAGATATTAAATGTAAAATGCAAAAAGTATTGTTATCATTCTGCAGCTAAAAGGCAAGAATATTTTGTGACAACTCCAAGTTCAAGATCAATAAACAAAATAAAAACATAACGCATTTCTTATCAAAAGACAATGATCACTTTTGTATTCATAAATTCAAAAACTCTTAAACATTAAAAAAACTGTGACCGTTTCTCTAGATATGATCAAGATGTCAATTTGACTTACCCGATTGACGTCCAAAAGAAGTGGCAACAAGAACAACGAACAACGGGTGCTGTTAGTGACCTATCCTAAACACGACCCTGCCATGTGACCACGATAAGGTGAACCTATCTTAGAAAAGACAAGCTGGCATCTCCCATGACCGAAGTAAGTAAGGGCATTCTTCAAAAAAAAGAAACGCTCGGACGTTTTCAGAAGTTCATTTCGATATATTCTGACAGCAGTCGTCATTAAGACAATTCCTCTGTTTGAATCCCGTTAATCATGTCGTGGTTGTTGTGTATTGAGCACAAACGCATTTACAATGTCTGTGTAAACGTTTGTCATAAAGAATGAAAACGATGCATGAAAAGTGCATGCAGAAAAAGTGGTTCACGTAATGCTCGTGCATGAAACATGAGTAGAGACATCAATTATAAAAGGTCAAACCAAATTCATCATTTCATAACGACATTTACGACGTAAACGAAGATAAAAAATGAATGCTTCTGACTGAAATTGAAATGTCATTGAACGTTTGGAAGCAGGGGAGTCCCAGTCTGCCGTTGCATCGGCATCGATATACCCGCTTCAATTCGACCCAAGAAGTGGAAGACCAAGAGTGACCACTCCTGCTCAGGACCGATTCATCTTGCGTCACCGATTTGCTACAGCAACGGACACTGCGTTCGACAGGTGGACAGATTTGGTGGAAGAGCGTCATGTGGTGGGCAGCCCCGTCCTACACGTATAGATCAGAGCCAGTAGAGGTTTACAGCAATCGTACAGCAAATCGCTACATCGACCAAATCCTGCGACATCACCTGCTCCCACTTTTTAACCGCCAGAGGGAGCTGTTTCAACACGACAACGCTCCACCCCACACAGCTCGTGTAACAGGTGTCTGTCTCGCCAGTGCAAAGGGCAATGTACTTACAAGGCCTTCCAAATCGCCTGATCTGAACCCAATCGAACATCTATGGGACGAACTTGTTCGACGAGTAAACGTCACCATCGTCCTGAGACAATTGCAGAATTGCCAACCCGTTGCAGGAGGAATGGCGAAGAATTCCCCAAGCAAAAATCCGACGACTTCTGCAATCCCTTCCAAGGCGATGTCGAGCAGTGACGGCTGCTGCTGCTGGTGTCATCAGGTACTGACACATGTGCAGTGAGTGAACTGAATGAATGCTGACAATGGCAACAATACATATGTTCATCCGTGTGTCGAATGTTCTTCATCTATGTTTAAGTTTAATCGACTTATATAGACTTAAATGCACTTTATACATTTCCTTATTTTTGGCCTGTGCGTTTCCTTTTCTTTCTCTTTTTTTTATATATGTGATCCATTTCATTGTATCTGAGGAATATACTACAAGTTATACAGTTTTCCCAGATATTATTGAGAACATCTTTGCTTCCTAATACAGATAATAGAATTTTAAAATAGGTGTTACGTTATGTAGTAAGATACTCAATATGGGAGGCAACTCTTGTAGGCCTAAGAATGAACCTTACTACATCAAGAGTTAGCTCCCCTAGTGTAGCAGACGGCTTCCTTTGTTGACATGGTAGAATTGACAGCAGAAGAGAAAAGAAAGCTGGTTCTAGATGATTTTGAAAGGGGTGTGACTAATGCAAAAGACTTAGCTTGTAGACATCCCATCTTGTGCCCCAGGAGTTGAGCACAAGACAGGGACAGGAGGCCAAGGAAGTTCAGTACTACGGATCGCCGGCGACTTGGTCAAATTGTGATAGGGGAAAATTGAAATGCGTTGAGGATATCAGAAATGAGATTAAGAAAGGAAGTTCTCAGGTATGTAATGAAACCCTAAGACGAGAATTACAAAGACTTAACTGGGTGAAAAAGCGCGAAGTTTCCTCACCATTGATGAAAGATGCACAAAAAGAAAGACGTATAAACTGGTGTAGGGCTCACGAAAATTAAGATTGGGATAATGTTTTCTTTTCTGATGAAAGTCCTGTCTGATTTTGTCCGAACTGTGTGAAAATTTGGACATCTACCAACGCCCGAAACATAGCCCGAAATTTCACATGTGGGGTGGGATACCATCACGTGGAGTGACGCCGTTGTGTATTGTCATCGGAAATTTGACGAAGGAACGATATGTTGACATCTTAAATGGTCACCTCCTTCCAACGGCACGAACACTGTATGACGATAACTGGATTTTCCAGCATCATAACAACCCAAAACACACTGCGGGCTACACAAAGCAGTGGTTGTCGGACGAAAATGTTCAAGTTTTCGACTGGCCCAACTACAGCCCAGATCTTAACCCTATTGTGAATGTATGGGGACTAATGAAGGACAGAATAAACTTTGATCGGTAGTGTACCTAGGGGCATTCAGTCGTGTATTGCAGGGCAAAGAGGTCTGACAAAGTACTGAAAAGACACTTAGATTGTAAGAGAATCATATCTCAACATATTAATGTAAGTAAAACTTCTATAGTTTTTACACACGTATTAGATATTTGCCGAAACAACTTTCTCAATAATTTCTGGGAATACTATATAATTACCTTGAACAGAGTGCGAATATTATCGCCGTATTGCTTTAATGATACATATAGATCTTAATTTAATAATTAAAATTGGTTCAAATGTTTGATATGCCTTCTTCTCTGTATCTGAAGAAATGTTATCAATTCCAATAACCGACGAGCAAAACTCGTAGTACAGATGTTGGGATACGTCTCCACAAGGCCAGCCAGGCTGCAACTGTGTGTCATCATTCTGGCAGAGAGGCTTTAACTCGTGGTATAGATGTTGTCATCATTTTTAATGGGGAATACAGATGTTGGATACGTCCCAGCAAGGTACCCCAATGACTAGCCAGTCTGGCAGTGTGGTTGTGAAGTTGGGAATACAGATATTTGGGGCAAGGCAGCCAGGCCTGCAGTCTGTGTGTCATCATATTGGCAGTGTGGTTGTAATGGGGAATACAGATGTTGGGATACGTCCCAGCAAGGCCAGCCAGTCTGCAACTGTGTGTCATCATATTGGCAGTGTGGTTGTAATGGGGAATACAGATGTTGGGATACGTCCCAGCAAGGCCAGCCAGTCTGCAACTGTGTGTCATCATATTGGCAGTGTGGTTGTAATGGGGAATACAGATGTTGGGATACGTCCCAGCAAGGCCAGCCAGTCTGCAACTGTGTGTCATCATATTGGCAGTGTGGTTGTAATGGGGAATACAGATGTTGGGATACGTCCCAGCAAGGCCAGCCAGTCTGCAACTGTGTGTCATCATATTGGTGGCAGTGTGGTTGTAATGGGGAATACAGATGTTGGGATACGTCCCAGCAAGGCCAGCCAGTCTGCAACTGTGTGTCATCATATTGGCAGTGTGGTTGTAATGGGGAATACAGATGTTGGGATACGTCCCAGCAAGGCCAGCCAGTCTGCAACTGTGTGTCATCATATTGGCAGTGTGGTTGTAATGGGGAATACAGATGTTGGGATACGTCCCAAGCAAGGCCAGCCAGTCTGCAACTGTGTCATCAACTGTGTGTCATCATATTGGCAGTGTGGTTGTAATGTGGGAATACAGATGTTGGGATACGTCCCAGCAAGGCCAGCCAGTCTGCAACTGTGTGTCATCATATTGGCAGTGTGGTTGTAATGGGGAATACAGATGTTGGGATACGTCCCAGCAAGGCCAGCCAGTCTGCAACTGTGTGTCATCATATTGGCAGTGTGGTTGTAATGGGGAATACAGATGTTGGGATACGTCCCAGCAAGGCCAGCCAGTCTGCAACTGTGTGTCATCATATTGGCAGTGTGGTTGTAATGGGGAATACAGATGTTGGGATACGTCCCAGCAAGGCCAGCCAGTCTGCAACTGTGTGTCATCATATTGGCAGTGTGGTTGTAATGGGGAATACAGATGTTGGGATACGTCCCAGCAAGGCCAGCCAGTCTGCAACTGTGTGTCATCATATTGGCAGTGTGGTTGTAATGGGGAATACAGATGTTGGGATACGTCCCAGCAAGGCCAGCCAGTCTGCAACTGTGTGTCATCATATTGGCAGTGTGGTTGTAATGGGGAATACAGATGTTGGGATACGTCCAGAGCAAGGCCAGCCAGTCTGCAACTGTGTGTCATCATATTGGCAGTGTGGTTGTAATGGGGAATACAGATGTTGGGATACGTCCCAGCAAGGCCAGCCAGTCTGCAACTGTGTGTCATCATATTGGCAGTGTGGTTGTAATGGGGAATACAGATGTTGGGATACGTCCCAGCAAGGCCAGCCAGTCTGCAACTGTGTGTCATCATATTGGCAGTGTGGTTGTAATGGGGAATACAGATGTTGGGATACGTCCCAGCAAGGCCAGCCAGTCTGCAACTGTGTGTCATCATATTGGCAGTGTGGTTGTAATGGGGAATACAGATGTTGGGATACGTCCCAGCAAGGCCAGCCAGTCTGCAACTGTGTGTCATCATATTGGCAGTGTGGTTGTAATGGGGAATACAGATGTTGGGATACGTCCCAGCAAGGCCAGCCAGTCTGCAACTGTGTGTCATCATATTGGCAGTGTGGTTGTAATGGGGAATACAGATGTTGGGATACGTCCCAGCAAGGCCAGCCAGTCTGCAACTGTGTGTCATCATATTGGCTTGGACAGATGTGGTTGTAATGCAACTGGGAATACAGATGTAATGGGATACGTCCCAGCAAGGCCAGCCAGTCTGCAACTGTGTGTCATCATATTGGCAGTGTGGTTGTAATGGGGAATACAGATGTTGGGATACGTCCCAGCAAGGCCAGCCAGTCTGCAACTGTGTGTCATCATATTTATCTGCAAAACAAAACTAAAGTTTGTAAATAGGAGTGGAACTTATACAATACGACTGAATTATTGTTGAACAAATCATTCAAAAGAGAAGCATCTGATATTTTTAACAATTATAATTTACCGTCATCCTCTAGACTCCTCCACAGGGTTTTAGTTCTTGCTTCTGTTCTGATGCCGATTGATTGTATTGAACTGTTTTTAAGGCAAGAATTTATGGATGCCAATTTCTTTATTTTGATGTGAACCGATTTTGCAAGTCTTGGGTTCTGAATATGCTGGTCTGGGGTATTACATTTTGCTGACACTCTTACCTTACTGTTTTGGCAGACTTTGTTTAATCGCGTCGAGTTTCTGAAACACCAAAACATTTAGTACTTCAAAATGTACACCTAAACCTATAGAAGATGACTGGCGGGAAGTATCAGTTTCCAAGTCGTATATTTTCCATAGTGATGGCTGGATACATGCGGACGTCGAACGGCCCTCCCTAATACAATGGGGTGTACCCGATCTTGGCTGCTCCGTGTGTTAGTCTGGACTGTGAGTGAGTGAGTGAGTTTAGTTTTACGCCGCACTCAGAAATTGGCGTCTGGACTGTGTCGTTTAGTCAAAACGTCATCGTTTCCTCTACGGCTAGTGTTTGCCCGAGGCAGGGCGCCCTGCCTTTTTCATTTGATGCCTTCTCTTTATTACAATAATTGATGTTAACACTTGGTGGTTTTTAGTTTCTATTTCATGTTGAAGTTTAGTGAAATAACTGTGCTCTTTGAGTCTTTAAGAATCATATGCATGGATAACTTAACATAATACTTGGAAATCTGCTCCTTTTGAAATAATGTCGCCCAGCCCTTTTTCTATCCTGGGGGTGACACTAACGGCAGTCGATTTTGTATATTCTATGCTATTTTATTTGTTATAAATGTATGCATGAAACATCTCTTCACTATGAGGTGGTGTAGTCGAAAATGATATTTTATCTGTCCGAGTGTAAACAATGATGTTTCCTTGTCCTTATCCAAACTGTGTTGTTTGATCTGCACTGGTGCAAACCATGATGTTACATGTGCGCCAGTCCAAGACATGATGTTTCATAAGTAATGTCACATCAGAGTTTGTCAAACGTATTGAGTTTAATCTGCTCTTCTTGACACCATGCTTTTGTGAGTGTTGGTATAAACTGTGCTATTATTCCGTGTTAACGGATTTGCTGTTTCTGAGAAATACGTACTCCTGTCTACACTACGTATAGAGTACGTGAATCATCTTTCAATGTTTCAGATTTACTCACGATTGTCATCCAGGCGACAAACTCACTGCGGGTGATTTCACCATTTCCTGAAGAAAATGCAGAATATAGCACTTGATGTTGTAATATAAGAGTAATATTTTCAGCATTTAATTACCATGGGAATGGCATTGCCAGTGGTTGATAGCATGAGCAAACATATAAGCTTCGTAACAGCCTGGTAATGAAATAATTAATTCGACACACAGGGGACCGCACCAGTCAGTAGGGACAGTGAGTGAGTGAGTGAGTGAGTATGATTTTTCGCCGCTTTTAGCAATATTCCAGCAATATCACGGCGGGGAACACCAGATATGGGCCAGTAGGGACAGAGTGGCTGTCGAGTGAGTGAGTCAGTGGGTGAGTGAGTTTACTTTTACGCCGCACTCAACAATATTCCAGCTATATGGCTGCGGTCTGTAAATAATCGAGTCTGGAGCAGACAATCCAGTGATCAACAGCATGAACATCGATCTACGCAATTGGAATACAGTGACATGTGTCAACCAAGTCAGCGAGCCTGACCACCCGATCCCGTTAGTCGCATGGGTTGCTGAAGATCAATTCTAACCCGGATCTTCACGGGCTGTGGCTGTCGAAGTCACAACAATATGATGACTACGCTCGTAGATAATGGAGTAAGTTCATGTCCTTTTGTCTTGTCACTCCATTGCATTAAAACATGCTTTAGGATTAAGTAAATATGTTCCGTGTATCAGCGTACTGTTTGATTTAAATAGTGAGGATGTTCCCAGTGCATCAAAGACGCAGCACCCAGCGTTTGCATCCAGGACGGTTGAAGTCTTGAATGTCTGAGATAGAATTGGTCTAAAGCAACCCATTGTTTGTGTTGAAGGCGACTAACGGGACTGGGTGGTAAAGTTCACTGACAATATGTCAATCACACGATGTCGTCACACAGCTGTAAGATTGCCGCGTGCGGCGTTAAACAAAGCGCTAAGCACCAAGTAAGTGAGTGAGTTTAGCTTTACGCCGCTTTTAGCAATATTCCAGCAATATCACGGCGGGGGACACCAGAAATGGGCTTCACACATTGTACCAATGTGGGGAATCGAACCCGGGTCTTCGGCGTGACGAGCCAACGCTTTACCCACTAGGCTACCCAACCGCCCGCTAAGCACGAAGGCAGGTCACACAATGTCTGTAAAAAGGAGGGCATCATACCGTTTGTATCGAAGAGATTGTAAACACTGTTCATGTTTGCAAGCCACAGGACATTCTCATTGAGAGTATCAAACTCCTGGAATAGACCGACAGTCTCGGGGCAGATCTCGGGGGTGTGGTGACACACTCCAAAGTAGAACTCCTTCTCGGTCAGACGGTCGTCATCTGGAATGATATTCATAATGACATTTCCACTGGAACGACATATCTGTAACGACAGACACTGTAACGATTATGCAACCTGTAACGACATACATACTGTAACGATACATCAAACTATATAGGGAGAGAGAATGAGAGAGACAAGGATAAGGAAGAGAGAGATAGACAAAAAGAAAAAGAGAGATATAGACAGAGAAAGCGAGAGATTGTAGAGTGTAGTTATGGAGGTCGGTGAAGAGAATGTGTCAGATAGATGGGAAACTGGTATAGAGAGGGGTCAAACTACAGAGGAGTCGGTTACTAGAGGGTTCCGTATTTCAAACCGGTTGATGGAAAAAGTGTGCTTGATTTCTAATCGATGGATGCCTATAGATACGTCAGTTAACAGGGAGGTCAATATAAAGGTGAGGTGAGGTGAAATTGGGTTTAACGTCGTGCTTGAGAATATTTCGCTCATATGACGACGTGCATGAGCGTGTATGTGTATGTGCGGCTGCTTGTACTAGCCCAGACTTAAGCTGGTTTTATAGTGCTAGCCCACTGAGATACCATACCGCAGTGAAGCATGAATACCCCACTCAGACACATTATACTGACTCCGAGCCGACCAGTCCTTGTTGTACCCATTAATGCCGAACGCCAGACAGGGACCAACAAGTACCATATTTTAACGTCTTTTGGTATGACGCGGTCGGGGGTCGAACCCGCGACCTTCCGCTCTCCGGGCGGACGCTCTAATATAAAAAGAGTGACGGAATACAAAGAGGAAACTGCACACAGAGGGTATCAGATTACAGGGAGGCCGGTACAGAGAGAAGGGCGGATATTACAACGGGGAAGACTTAAACAGTGTGCTGAATTCCATGGAGTCCAGTATAAAGAGAATGACGGATTGCAGGGAGAAAAGTTTACAGAGAGTGGAGGATTACAGGAAGGCCGGTACAGACAGGAGGGTGGATATTACAACGTGGAAGGCGTAAAAAGAGCGCTAGATTCCAAGGAGTCCAATATAAAGAGAATGATGAATTACAAGGAGGAAAGTTTACAGAGGGTATTGGATTACAGGGAGGTCGGTACAGAGAGAAGGGCGGATATTACAACGGGGGAAGGCGTAAAAAGAGTGTCAGATTCCAAGGAGTCTAGTATAAAGAGAATGACTGATTGGAGGAGGTAACGTTTACAGAGAATGTTGGATTACAGAGAGGAAAGTGTAGAAAGAAATAATCTACAATGTTACCATTAGCGTCATACTGATGGAAGGCCCCGAGCAGTTCTTGGCTGGAGACATCCCCGCTCCTGTCAGTGTCTAGAAGCTTGAACAGGTGCTCGGCTACAGCCTGGGTGGTTTTGTGATGATCATGTTGACTGAAACAAGCATCGTCCTCCTCATCAACAATATCACAACATTGGGATGATTTGACGTCCACGATGGCGTCCCGAATCAGGGGCCCGTTCCTCAAAGGGGCCCGTTCCTCAAAGCGATCGTAGCGCTACGACAGTCGTAAGTCTATGTTAAAGTATGGGAGTTACGACAGTCGTATCGCTACGATCGCTTTGAGGAACGGGGCCCAGATTTCACTTCAGTTACCATTAATTAATAACATCCAGTCTTCACTTCAGTCGACGTTTAAAGGGGCCATTTCTGACACCGTTTTAAAAACATACCGCGGAGAGAAATAATATTTTAAAAATCAATGTTGCCATCTCTATCCTGCCTATATATACATTAGTGAGTGAGTATTGTTTTAAGCTGCTTTTCGGAATATTACAAGGCGGAGGAAACAAGGAACCAACCAACCACAGGGCAAACCCAGCGCCACTGATCTGGACATGTTTAGTCAGGGTTGAAATGTGTCACTTTCGATGCATCATATTTTTTAGCATTAATGTCACAACCATCAAAGAAAATACCTTATTTAGAAACATGCCAAAAAAAAAGAATTATCACACTAGATAGCAAGTACAATTTCAGCGGAAAATACAACAAAATCTATATTTGCAGTTTCTAACAAAGCACTAGTAATATTAACTTGTCTCTTGACAGTATGCGATCGACAGTTTGCCCCGTTTCAAAGGAAAGGTTAAAAAAATGGGGATTTGAAAAAAATCTATATGAAATGACTCGAAATTGCAGCTGACATTCATTAGTCAGCACGAAAATCCAATGTCTACGGTGAATTTGGAAGAGAATCATTGTAGTGTAAGATGTATAATTTATCATATCTTGGCATAACATTGCAACCCAAAAGGAAATCCCCAAATAAACAAACAGTATCATGTATCACTCTTAATGGATCCCATATTGCTGGTAAACTCCGTGGATTTGTTTTGTAGGAAAGAAATCCGACCGATTATCGACTTAATTATGTTTATATGTTCCATGCAAAGGATGCCTCCATGGTAGAAGTAATAAATGAATAAATCAAATAAATACTACAAGGAATCTGTTTTACCTAATTCTCAGTTTAACTATTTACCCTATTGAGAGATGACAGAAGTTATAGGCTGCAATAAGCAGTGACTAACCAAAGTATTTGTATTGGAACATGTTTGGGAAATTCTAAAGTTTATAAATATTCCGTATCAAATGCCAAAATAATAAGGCTTCTCGCTAATAATGAACAAATATTAAAATTCACGATCGCGCCTGGAGACACCCGTGTTCTGATATGTGAAGGTGGTATTAAGTATTCGATGCCCGTAAATTTCAATTCAAACCGGTGATTTGTCCCGTTCATGTTTTACCATATGGTGACATCTTAGATATAGAAAAACAAGGCTCTATCACCAAGTTCACTAGGTTAAACTAAAAATTTCTACTAGGAAGCATTCAACACTAACACGACAAAACAATATGCTTTTTGCTCATTAAAAATATTGTTTGAGTTTTAAGCTTAGTATTAAATGTACTACCAACCTCAAAGCCAAGGATACAAGACAGGAAAAAACGACTAGGAATTTCATCGTTCACTGTGGAGAGATTCGAAAAGAATGAAGAATGACCCGAATGTGTCGTTACATATATATAGGTAATATCTGTGGTATTTTATCAGGATTATGGATTTCCTGAACTAAATCCGCACCAATCCGGAAGCTATTGAAGTCACGAGAAAGTAAAATATATAGATTTCTTCCGATGAGAATACCTTTAAAACCATGTTATTTTTAAATATTGGTACTTTTTTTTATTAGAGACATATGGTTACAAACCTTCTAGAAGGCTTTATCGTAAGACGAGTTATCTGTCACGCGATCTTACAACTGACTTTTCACAGCTGATTATAGCTGGTCAGGTGAACCAGGCATTACCTAACCGCACTCTGTGAACTATTTCCACGTTGACGTGCATCGCTTTCAGCATTCTTTCAAATGGCGGTGGGGCAGACTAATGGTTAAAGCGTCCCCTCGTCACACTGAAGACCTGGGTTCGATTCCCCACATGGGTACAATATGTGAAGCCTATTTCTGGTGTCCCCCGCCGTGATATTGCTAAAAGCGACATAAAACTACTCATTCACTCACTCACCCATTCCTTCAATGGATTAAACGTTCTTAACTACAAGGATCCGATAATCCTTGGTACGAATCCCAAATGACCCCTGTCCAATCAACTATTCTTTAAAGTGGTAAAAGGCTTTGGTGGGCGTCAGCTTGAGCATTTATTATCAGGTCCCTGGTTAAGCGAACCACAGTTCGAAGCACGGAGTTACCTTCCTTTACCGTGTCAGGATCCGCTTGTCGTGGACTAAAACCCTCAGTGATGAAAGCCCTAATTATTAATCACTTGAGTGAAATCCACGAGCGAAATAAAGATGTCGCGACGTGAAATTACCGAAATAACCTGACCAGCAAAAGAATGTATTTTTGTTGTTTATATAGATTTTCAGCCCAGTAGATACTATTTTTAAGTTTTCAATTATTTGGTCAAACTAAGTTTATACTTTCTTTTGCACGGTATTTTACGTTAATCGCCGTTAACCCATTTACGTCATGACGTATGAAGGTCATGTAGCCAAGTTGGTAGAGAGTCCATATCACCTCCATGCCGGTCGTGGTTCGATTCCAATCAAGGAAACTTTCGAGTTTCATCATAGTAAAAACTCATGAAATAGAGAACCGGGTGGTTACAATGTGCGAACTCGCATATAGAAAGACTGCTCATTTGTTTCTCTGTTGCGCACCCCGATTTGCGCTACAGTTTGCCTGTGGTCCAACGTCTCGGATCTTCGTTCATGATGTCGCTCAGTAGTTTCTCTGGCCAAGACTCGATAATTTACATGCTGCCGTGATACAGTTGGAATGTTACTTATGTATTCTATAGAGGATATTATATGAGTGCCCATGTTATACTATGTTTACGACACGAGCGCCTAAACGAGAGCGAGAGATATAGCGATATTTAGGCACGAGTGTCGTAAACATAGTATGATATTGGCACGAATATAATATTCTGTTTATTACCGAAGTCGTCAAACTGAGGAAAATAAACCCAAATCTACTTTCAAACATAGGCTGGCTACCCGCCGTCGCCTTATGTAGAACGCAACGTCACAGAAGAAACGTGACGTCATAGCATTGTTCATGACGTCACCTCACCATGACAAAGTGATATTTTGCACTAGGGCATCGTATGAAAAATATGAACCCCGATATTTTCGCCCTCGTAGGTAATAAATAGCGAAATGAACAAGAAACGCGGTATGAATGTAACCGTTTGCAGCAATATGTTAAATGCTTTTTCTAGCGGTGCTACCTACAAACCTTGTAGTCGGTCTAAAATGTCCCCGTTTTGCTGGAATATTGCTAAAAGCGACGTACTAAATGTCACTCACTCACTAAAATGTCCACTGGTCAGTTTGTGTCAAGCCCTAGCGGCCAGTACAGCAAACGCCATTAGTTTAAATATCCACAGGTAAATTTCTCAGAAGCCGACCAACAGATTAGTACCAAAAGCGTCTGGTCAGTCGACAGTCGATTTAAAGGTCACATGCAAGGCAAAACACAACTTTGCAGATTCTGATACCCTTCGGTATGGACTTACAGTAACAAATTATCAAAACTGCAAATTCAACTTAATATAAAGTTGAAAAATAACGCGATGAAAAAAACCCCGCGAAATCGTAGTTCAAACGATTCACTAATTTCACCCCAGCGCTTGGGTGAAAAGTGGTTTCAACAGCTGTGCTGCGCTGCGCCCATAGCGCATGCGCAGTGATTAGGTTCGCGCGGTATGAACCGGGAAGGCGACTCGTAAAAACACAGCAAGTGATGCGTGCAAAGATTATCATTGTGGTCGAAGTTGGAGAACAAAAGATGTTTCTTGTGCTTACAAGCATCTTTGGTCTGCAGTAATAAAAATACACTGGTCCCATACTTGGTTGCAGATTTGCAAGCCAGGCTTTCAAGAAAGTGTAGCATTAGAAATACTAGTTTCATTGTTAAAAATTGCTCAGCTTGAAAACCGGAATGCTATACATGTCTGTGGAAACATAGAAAAATATGTTGATTTTGATAAGCAGTCTCTGTCACAGACAAAACTCAATGTCTGTTTTATTGACACCATGTGTCTGTCTGCCTGCCTATCTGCGAATGACAATATGCAATACACAACTTCAATCATTGACCACATGCAATTTGACCTTAACAAAACCTATCAGGCCATACATCATAAACAAAATACATTGATTTATGGCTCGTGCACCTGAGTTCTGTCTCTGTCACATTATGTAATTACACTTTGCACAGACAGGCAGGTGTGATCACCATCTCAGTATGTGTTGATCGGATCGAACGCAAATGCAGAGAGCATGTATTTACAAAACCCAACATCTCTACACACATTCTTTATGGATAACAACTTTTATTGTATATGATGTGACGTTTCGGTATGGATTCTTATACCGTTGTCAAGCAAGAGTGACAACGGTATAAGAATCCAAACCGAAACGTCGCATCATATACAATAAAAGAAGTTGTTATCCGTAAAGAATCTTACTTTCTTATTAATCACAATACTTCTAGAATGCCAATCAAACATAGTATCTCTATATACACACACACAATGAGCTCTCAGGGTTTCGGCAAATGAACCAGCCAATGAGAGACTTCGTTACACTTGAGTGCACGCCCACCCGCTCTGACTGGGTTCGGTCTCCAGGGTGCTTCGTTTCGAGGGAAGTAAACGCAAGTACAAAATATTGCACTTTTGATTCGCCATTGTACGCTTATAATTTTGTTTATTTGTTTTTTCACAATCAGCCATGTATATTATTTGTCATGAATAGGTGAAAATTGTGTTTTAATTATGTTTGTTGTTGGTTTTTTTTTTGTTGCATGTGACCTTTAACTAACGGGTTGTGTGTTTGTCATGAAGGATTATGTGTACTAATGTCTACTAAACATATAAAAATAGACATCGTAAAATCAGCAAGAATTTTTAAAAGTGTTGTGCAAGAACCCACCAATGCATGCTCTTTTACGAATATGACAGGTGTTAGAAGAATATTTAAGTCTGCGTTGGCGAGCTGTCTGTCTTCTCTCACAGGACCTAGAGGTAGGTGAGCCACTCGCTGATATGAGGTGTTTTTTGTTGTTTAAAGCCGAAATCGGAAATATTCGTCACGCCGAAGACCCGGGTTCGATTTCCCACATGGGTATAATGTGTGAAGCCCATTTATGGTGTCCCCCGCCGTAATATTGCTGGGATGTTGCTAAACCATACTCACTCACTCACTATATTGCCCTGAATATTCTGATATTGAAAAGATGGTTATACTAATTGGTGGAATTAATTGTGCACCATCGTTACCCGAGTAATCCTATATTGACCATCCCTTCCCAGACATACAGGTAATGAGCTTCCGTTAACATTTAGGATATACACATGTATTTCATTTTTATGTTTTACGAAACGGAAAATAGACTTAGTTTGAATGAAAATAACTATTGTTACATTTTGTTGATTTGCTTTTGGTTTAGTTCAATTAAACATTCCAGTCTATATATTTCATACCATAATACTCCACCAAAACCTTGTGTTTATCTTGAAGGAGGCATATTTTACAGGGGTATTCTGCTCGAATTTTAAGGCGAAGCGAAAACAATCCAAAAAATCTTGGTATAATCTCTACCTTGTCTAGGTAAAGTTACCAAATGAATATACTTATTTAAGCTTACATACGTATATGATGCTTAGATCTAAGAAGTACGTATATCTCAATATATGATATCACAATGATGTGTATCGTTACTCAGACCGTGTCTTGTGAAGTGAGCTGAGTGAGTTTAGTTTTACGCCGCACTCAGCAATATTCCAACTATATGGCGGTGGTCTGTAAATAATCGAGTCTGGACTAGACAAACCAGTGATCAACAACATCTACGCAATTGGGAACCGATGACATGTGTAAACCAAGTCAGCGAGCCTGACCATCCGACCCCGTTAGTCGCATCTTACGACAAGCATGGGTTACCGAAGATCAATTCTAACACGGATCTTCACGGGTTCTTGTGAAGTTGCGACCCCAGCTAATTAACATAAGTATAGTTTATGCAAGCCAGGTTTTGTGACTTGGTTGAATAAATTACTTTTTTGGCGTGAATAATTGCTCATAGAGTCAATCACTGGATTATCTGGACCTAACTAGGTGATTTACAGACCACCGTCATGCAGCTGAAGATATCCGAGTAAGTAAGTAGGGGTTTACTTCGCTGTTAGCAACATTCGAACAACGTCACGCTGGGGACACACGTTTTACCCATGTGAGGAATCGAACATGGGCCTAGTTTTAACCCCTAGGCTACCCTCCCGCCCCTGAACAGAACTACGTTAACGATAAATCTAGCAATGCATGGCTAACTTTAGGTAGGTGGTATATTTAAATGTCAAGTTCAAGACCACCCATTTGTGGTATGGATGAATCACGAACAGCATATTCAGTACCGTATACCGTTACATTTAAGCTCATCGGGTTCAGCATAACGGTAAAACATGAACACAGGTAAATGACATGATAGTGACAAAATATGCCATAATGCTGCATTCGAGAAAAGACTAAAATAAATCGAGATAAAAGGTCATCTCTAGTGCATGTTCGAGTCAACGTATTTCATATACGGGTGTACTCGAGGCAGCAATGTTCTGATTGCAAAAACTATAAGAATTCCATGAAGTATACCCATGTATTACAATACAAATTGGACAGACTCGAATTTGATAACAGATTTCTACAAAACAGTCTCATTGGTGTTTAATTAATTAAATTTTATAAAAATGTGTTATACTTATTCTTCCAGATTGAAATGAACAACCTCATCATCTTCTCGTGTCTTCTCGCCGTGGCGTTTTCAGCGTGAGTTTAAGATATGATGACAAAGGTGGTCTCAGGCTGCAATGCGCTGTACAGAGTTGCCTCCCTTAGACACATCACATTCGTCACCACTCGCCGTAACATCCAAAACATTCGTCACCACTCGCCCCTTTCCGTAACCTCAAAGCTTGTCTCGGAATAACAGGAGTTGGTTACGAATGGAATGCCTCCAAAACATTCCTGACCCACTCGTGTTATTCCGGGGCTTCTTGGAGGTTACGGAAAGGGGCGAGTGGTGACGAATGCCTCCAAAAGTCGCTATTCGGCTTGTCCCGGAATAACACGAGTTGGTCACGAATGCACGTACCATTTCGCCCTATTGTTTGTTTGTACGTTCGTTGGCTTCATGGAAACTGAAAGCATATAAGACCCGTATCAATAACACGCTCTCAGACTCTGTGTTCAAGGACTCAAAAATCGTATGACTTTTGTACATATATCCGATAATGAGAGAAAACCCGCTTTGGAACAATGGGATGACGTCACCAGAGGTGTCTCAACTGTGCTGACTCTATACACAGGAAGATACATTAGGTATATTTTTCTTCTCGACTTCAGCACTGACTCCCCCGTTGTAGCTGCCCTTAAAAGAGCGTTTTCCTCCGTCGACACCGACAAAGACAATCACCTCTCAGAATCGGAATTTGAAGCCATATATGACCTTTACGATAAGAATGGTAAGTTTTCTTTCCCGTGTTTATTTGACTTTTGTTTGGCGAGCTAGCTGTCTTCTCACCAGGGATCCTCAAGATATTAGGATTACACAAACCACACCCCACGCCTTCGGGTCATGATGACACACAATTAATCAAGCGAGTGAGCAGCCCTGACCATCGAGAGGTTGCTCCATTGTATGAATAGTTGAACTAAATCAGTTTTCATGTACAATACGTACAAGAAAGACATTCATGTTTCAAGTCAAGTTTATTGCATTCATTAACCAAGGAATTGTCTCCACTAGGTGACGGTCACTTGAGGTTGGCTGAGTACCTTGCGGCATCCGGAGTCCCCCAGGCTTCAGCTAAAGACAACTTTGACTACTACGATACCAACAAGGATGGCGATATCACGAAAGCTGACGTGAAGAGAATATTCTCAGACTACGATGGAAATGGTAAGTGAACATTTTGCTGAAAACCAGAAGACTATTTTCGAGTGTTCGAATAAGGGTTCGACCCATTTATGTTTCCAGGTTTGTCAGCTCTCTAACCATGCTCGACCCGTGAAGGTCCGGGTTGGAATGAACCTGCACAAATCGATGCTCATGCTGTTGATCACTGGATTGTCTGATCCAGACTCGAATATTTACAGACCGCCGGCAAAAAGCTGGAATATTGCTGAGTTCGGCGTAAACCTAAACTCACTCACTCACTCATTCACTCACTGTAGCCATGCTCGTGGATGTCTGTCGTTATATACTGGGCAAAAATAGTTAGGGATATATATGTAAATTTTGAAATTATGAATAATGATTTATTTCTTCATTGACACACTGATAAAATATCAACCATAAAAATACCAATATCCCTAACTTATTTTGTCCAGTATATAACTGGAATACAGTAATAATCAAAAGTAATTACCGATTTACGAAATACGACAGACTGGCGTTACTTGAGACAAAACTGGGCTGCGGTCGTAACCAGTTAACGTCAAATGTGACAGTGAAGCCGTCACCGTAAGTGGTATGTTGATGTTTGCCTTTTCAGCCCTACTTGCTGATGTCACGGTATGCATGCCTGGCAGTTTGCTGTTGGCACGTGCATATGGCTTTTTGACAGTTTTTGCCTTTTCAAGTAACGCCAGGCTGGCGGCTTTTTCTTGTTCCATCACGCAGTTGGAGGTTTACTTATGTAGCAGGGCATGGAGTCATCCCACAGATGACATCCTTACCTTGTCAGCCTCTTGACGGGGTTAACCTCTTTGGTCATGTGAGCAAGGCGCCCGACTTCGGATCAGAAGGTCCAAGTTCGAATCCCAGCACGGGAATCGGAAAATTTATGGCTGCTACGCTTAATATGTCGGAAATAAGTTTCAATCATTATGTGTGTAACAGGCCTTTCTTGGGAGAGTATTTATCAACATTGTCTGACACGTGTGTGTGTGTGCGTTCGTGCACGCGCGCGCATGTGTATTGTTGATAACATATCAGCTGATTATATCATGGTTTCGTGTTCTAACAGGGGATGACAAAGTGACTTTCGGCGAGTTTGAGCATCACTATGCATTGGTGAGTACTTACAGGATGATATTTTCAAAATATTCACATTGGTCGTCTAAGGCGCCCGTTCACCCGATCCTGAAATTAGACCTATTTGGCGAAACAGCATGGGTTACTGGAGTAGCTGGTGCACGTGATTGTGTCATCGGTGCGCAGGGGGTCAGGCTCGCTGAGTTGGTTGACACATGTCATCGGTTCCCAATTACGCAGATCGATGCTCATGCTGTTGATCACTGGATTGTCTTGTCCAGACTTGATTATTTAGACAGCCGCCATATAGCTGGAATATTGCTGAGTGCGGTGTAAAACTAAACTCATTCACTCACTCACTCATCGGTGCGTGGCAAGGGTGTATGCTCAGTCCCTTTCTATTTCAAATTTCATAAAAGACACAGGTTTGTGAAACTGAATAGAATTGTCATTTTGGGGCTCAGTTACATTTGTATTTTTCTGCTTTGTTGATGACCGCAAGGTCATTGCGGTCCAGCACCCAGTTTTAACTGCAAGCGCCCTCATATAAACTGAAAACCTTTGCCAACAGATCATTTCAGTTTCCATAATCACATCTTTGGGACTCTCTCCCCACAGAACGCAGATGCACGAAAGGTGTTTTTAAATTCCTTGAAACCATGCTTGCCTCGCCTGTACTTTAAATGGAGTAGTGACTGGAGTTCCAAGATAAAGCACGATTAGCAAAAGTTTAAATCATAGATGTGGTCAGTGGGGTAGCCTAATGGTTAAAGCGTCCGCTCGTCACGCTGAAGACCCGGGTTCGATTCCCCACGTCAGGACAATGTGTGAAGCCCATTTCTGGTGTCCCCTGCCGTGATATTGCTGGAATATTGCTAAATCGGCGTGAAACCACTTACTCACTTACTTTATAAATGTTTATTTCTAATGAAAAGGTGGCAAACAGAACAAATTTGCAAAAGAATATTCGTATTTCAACCATCATCCATGGTTTTGTTTTGTGAAGAATGAAAAGAAATCCCATAATAAATTAGGCGTAGAGAATAAGCAAGTTCATAAATGTTACCAGACAGCCTAATAATAGTTTGTTATACTTCCAACAACATTGATATCCTGTAATATATTGAAGTATCCTTTAGTTTTATGCCTTCCACACATTGTTTCACACATATCATTTCGCACCCGTGAAGATCCGGGGTAGAATAGGTCTTCAGCAACCCATGCTTGCCACAAAAGGCGACTATGCTTGTCGTAAGGGGCGAATAACGGGATCGGGTGGATAGGCTCGCTGACTTGGTTGACACATGTCATCGGTTCCCAATTGTGCTGATCGATGTTCATGATGTTGATCCCTGGATTGTCTGGTCCAGACTCGATTATTTTCAGACCGCCGCCATATAGCTGGAATATTACTGAGTGCGGCGTAAAACTAAACTCACTCACTCACTCATATCATTTGGATTCCAGGTCGAGAAAGCCATCGCTGGTGCTGGAACTGGCGTTGGGAAGTAACTGGTAAGGTAAATCGGTTGTAATGTAATCTTTCGGAATCGAGGGAGTTACTGTGATCACATATAGTATGACCAGATATTATTGAGAATTTTAGGAATATGTTTAATTGGATTTCTAGTATAAACAACCTTGACCAGCTATCAAGTGCTTGGTTTCATTCAAGAGAGACGACTCCGTTAATCCTTTTTCGTTAGTTTGTGAAGAGCTCTCCCCCTTTGTTTACTTGCTAGCAGACGACATTTTCAGTGATCCTCAGTATAGATGATTTAGAGAAGAGGAAGTTGATTTTAGAGTATTATAACAAGGACATCAGATCAGCTAAAGTGATTTCAAGTAGAACAGGCATCCCTTTGTCCGCTGTTTATCGTGTTTTGAAAAATATTGCAAATGGATATGGCACTGAGCACCAGGGAGGCGCAGGTAGGCCCAGAAAATTGACTGTCGGTGACAGGAGGCAGCTTGGTATTCTTGTTTCTAAAAATAAACGAAGGAGTTTAGAAAACTTAAGGCTGGATATGATTGATAGAGGAACTGTGGCTGTCTGTAAGGAGACAATTAAAACTGAGCTGCATGCTATGGGTTGGCAGAAAAAACGAGGAATTCCATCACCGATCATGAAACCTGAACAAAAGGAGCGAAGGTTGAACTGGTGCTTACAGCATAGAAATTTTAACTGGGACAATGTGATTTTCTCAGATGAAAGTTCTGTGTGGCTGTTTCCTAATAGACTGAAATTCTGGACTAAACAAACTGAAAAACCTTTCTATCAGCGCCCAAAGTACAGTCCGAAATTTAACGTGTAGGGTGGCATATCTGTGTTAGGGGCAACGCCCCTATGTGTATTTGAAGGGAATATGAACGGTGAGCGGTACACAGATATTCTCGGGGGACATGTACTTCCATCTGCTCACGTGTTCTATGGAAATTTTTGGATTTTCCAGCAGGAAAACGACCAAAGACATCGTTCAAAGCATTTACAGGCCTGGTTTCGGACCCAAAATATGACATTATTAAATCCAATAGAAAAAGTTTGGGGGCTTATGAAGGAAAGTGTCAATAAGAAAAATCTGACAAATATTGCTGAAATGAAAGAAGAGGTGGTCCGATATTGGGACAGCATGGACCACGACTTTCTAACTTCTTTGATCAGTAGTATGCCCCGCCACATTGAAGCCTGCATTGCTGCGGGCCCATGGTGACTTGACAAAATACTTGAATCTTTGAATCTTCCATATGTATTTTGTTCTGCTAATATTCACATTTAATACGTGAGTAATGAGTGTAAAAATAACAAATATACAATCTTTAAATTCTCAATAATTTCTGGTTGTACTGTATATACTAAGGCATAACTAGTTATAGCCTATCGTGGCGCTACGATCGAGCCACAAAATGTCGTATACATACAGCGTACGTTGGCCGTACTCAACGTTACATGACCTTGACTTAATGACGTTCCCTGGCGTTCGAAGAAAACAGCAAGAGCTCTATGACTAAGAACTAATGGTAAATAGTTTATGCATTTAATTTAACATCATGCCAGCATTACAAATGAATTATCATGTAATTCGATAACCGAGCTCACGACACGATACGATCGATAAAAACTATCGAATTGCATTTCTACTTTGATGCAAGACTTGTAGGTTGGTCAGTGCATGTCTGTGCGGTAATGGCTGAGGTCACAACCGATTCTACCTTGACACTGAAGAATGCTTGATACAATATGGCGTAAAATTCTTCTTACGCGTCGCCGATATAACTAAATTTGCGGCTATATAACCACCGGTATACGTCCCCAATTCGTCAAGCACAGTACAGTTATCCCCATTCTAATTCAACTCGTTTTACACTGTTTTTTTCGGGAAAGAAATTCATTATTTAAACCAGGTCAAAGTTCCTCTAGGTCAAAGGTTAATCATATCACTCCTTCAACTTACACCATCGCCAGAGAAAGTAGTTCCCTTTTCAAACTACACACGTTTTTTATGTGCACACAGACTAAATTTGACAATGATGAATAGATCATAGTATTATAGATAAAATGGACGGTATTATGATGAAACCGCCCTCTAGCTACAGAAATGAGCGGCCCGCTGATTCCTCAACTACGGGCCATTATCAGTTCTGTTGTCAAATGACGTCATAGCAGGTGACGTCACGCTCCATAATGACGTCATAAACCTTGTTTCATGATCTAACAGTGTTGGGTCAACAGCCCGTTGCGAGTAAGTTGTTTGAACTTAAAATTAAATTTATGATACTGTTTTGTCTTTTTTTAACACAAATTCCACCCATTTTAGCTGGATAGGGGAGTTATTTGACCAATGGCTTCTGCAAATGACAATGTCCTGCGAAACAGCGTTACCCCAATAGTGTAGGGATACATTCAAAGGTTTCGGTGAATCGGTTTTCAAATTGCGACCGTATATGCTGATTATACGGTCGGAAATTTATAGCATTGACTAATCAGAACTCGTGTTACATACTAAGTTGAATTAGAATTCGCATTGAAACATCAGTGTAGATACATCGATGTATCGATAGCATACTTTCGAAATTCATATTCTGTATGGCAAGGTTTGCTTTTAATAGACGTTACGGTGATATGTCTGATTATATTCATTGCCCATAAGATATGTACGGACGATCGAAAGGGGACAAAACTATTAGGTGTGACGTTCCTCTTGACAAAGGGGTATCACGCTGTGTCAGTCTTGACACGTGGTATCCATGTATGTTCTGTAGTAGGGGTGGGTATTGCCGAAAGTTTTCATATGCGATATGTATTGCAATATATTGCAAGAATTCTTTTAAAAAAAACCTACTTATAATCGAGTTAATGCTTGATTTACAAAGCAAAACCACAACAAAATCACTATGCTTGATTAGGCTTTAATAAAAACTTTAAATCATGACAAAATAAAAATGCAAATAATATTTGGAACAAATGAAACAAGGAAAGGAACAAATTTAAAAAACCCGGAAATAGCCGAAGATTTCCGAGTGTTCTGAAGCCTTCCGAATGCATGTCAAAATACCGGTTTTCGATCAGCGTATCGCAATACGTATCGTTCTCATGCCTAAACCGGTTATATTGCGCAGCCTTATTCTGTAGGCATATTTGTTTTTTATTATAACACTAGCAAATAACGATTTAACCAGATAGAGAAATACTAAGAAGTGCTAAAATATCATGTATTTCCTTTCAGGCTCACCACCCACCTTACAAGATTGTTACGTCGCTGTTATCAGTTTGTACTGTACACAATAGATACTTTTCACTAAATCGTGTCCATCGTATCAATTATCGTATCAATTCTACCATCATCGCTTAGCTGTATGATGTCCCTCAGCAGTTAACATATACACAGAACATTAATGGTCAAATGGTTTTCGACGCCTTAGATTAACACGCAGAGTTACTTCCCTTAGCGTATCTGCTCGATCAGTTATTGGCTGATACAGTGCTCGGAAAACTCCCCAAACAGCCCTTGGTGTGCCAGTACCATACCAGTCGTTCCGGTTTGTTCAAATATACATCTGATTCCAGTTTCTCCTCTTTCGAAGGGAAGTTTCCTTAGATAGAGAAGGTATGACCATTCTTATATTTTGAGCACTTATTGTTTTCCCTTCCTGTTGAAACATTTAAGCGACACATAACATAATCACTACCTACAGTTGCTGGTGATGTATAGCCTGGATTTACATTTTGTTGTTTTGCAATGACTAACAATTTTACACTGAACTCGAACTAGTTTTAATCAATGTGTGACAGTCTAGTTGTTATACTATCCCTTGATGAAAGGTTTTTTTAATAAGTATACATATTTTTAGTCTTAGTACATAACTTTTTGTCGTCACGATATGGCTGAAATATTGCCGATGTGACGTTAAATATTAACTGACTCACTCACTCATAACATAATCATAACACTGTAGAGCGACCTTTGAACAATCACGTCACGTATGACTGACTGACTGACTGAGTTTGGTTTTACGCCGCTTTTAGCAATATTCCAGCAACATCACGGCGGGGGACAGCAGAAATGGGCTTCACACATTGTACCCATGAGGGGATTCGAACCTGGGTCTTCGGCGTGACGAGCCAACGCTTTAACCATTAGGCTACCCCACCACCCCCTCGTCACGTATGAAGGTTTTCTTGAAAACCACATATATAATACCAAGTGCCCTTATGGAAAACAAATAATGAGAAATATTCCTCAGCAACTATCTTTGGAGACATCTTCCAGCCAACTGTTTTATGGTAACGTATGGGTCCTAGAATGACGAACCTGTGAGCAAAAGCATCGAACACCAATATTCCAGTTATATCACAACAGTCTGTAAATAATTAAGTCTGGAACTTACACACAACAATTTATAAAACGTCACTGCAAGAAAATTACTTGCACTGACCACTGGAATTCAGCAAAACCACATGGTGTTAGCGAAAAGGGTAAGCATATCATGTCCTACCGGTATCATATGCCAGTCACATAATTTGCATAACATCTACCAGAACCCTGAAAAAGCAAACCAAACAGTTGCGTGAAGTATGGACCAGAACATTCTCTTCCCACAGAGGTTACTCCTGTCATATCTTCCTACGTAACCTCTGTTCTAATACGGCCCTTTCATGGTGTGAGCGTTCAAGACTCGTGATTGGAGGCAATCAGATTTAGTTGTGCAATTAGCGACGTTGTTTCAAAAGTGATCATTCGCAAGGCCTCGGTAATTTCCGTATGCTTCGAGAAAACTAAACCTCTCCCCCTACGCGATGCGCAAACGTTTCTTCTAGACAGAACTCAGTCATGTTATGGCGGATCAGTGGCGTCTCCATCGCCCTCCTTGACAACGGACAAGCTAGCCATTAAACGTCTTGTGTGTAACATCAACACAAGTCCCCGTCAGATGGGGGATATTTGTGGCCCCACATTTGCTTGTGTTAGTCAAGTTGAATCTAAGTCGATGTAAAACGTGTTCTGATTGGATAGAAAGAAGGGAGATAATTCGTGTTGCGATCTTTTGCCGCTAGGGGATTTTACGAGAACCGGGAAATATGGCCGTATTAGAACAGAGGTTCGTAGGAAGATATGACAAGTAACCTCTGTGGGAAGAGAATGGGACCAGAACAGCGTACGAACTGATTATGTTGAAACTTAACAAAACGACACGTTAATTCTGAATTGCGTCTGCTATGTTCGAGTGCAGAGACAATATAAATGCCTATCGACTTCCCATGAGGCAGGTACACTCTTATGAAACTGAAATGTCGATAAATCACTGTATCAACCGAAAGTGAAGTCAATAGCTGCTTTATTATATGACACAAAAATACATATAAAATTACAAAAAAGAAATACTAGCCTGCTTAGCTCTGATACATAGCGCTCAAATACATGATTGAACGCCGTGTATGGGAACGCTGTGTATCTTAGCAATAGTCTGCTCACATCTCTCAACCTTTTCGTCTGCCATTGTTTGGAAAGGTAAACAACTGTGAATCGTCACTGAAACGTAGCAATGCCTACTTTGGGGGCAAATCCAACACACACGCGTGATCACGAGTTTACGTTATGGGGTTTCATTCTGTTTTTAGCCGAGTGGGGTCTGTGGGTTGTATCAACCTCACGTGAGGTTGACTTAACTTTGTGTCACGTTATGCATGTGGCAATTCAACCAGTTACCCCATGCCAAATGTAGATATAGCATCAAAACCAGGTAATATGATACACCCGGCCTGATCACCCATACTGCATATCTTGACCATGTTGAGCACCAGAGCCATTCGTGGCCAACTCGTGGTATTCCGGGACAAGCCGAAGTCTTCTTGGAGTTTACGGAAATGGGCGAGTGGTGACGAATGCACCAGAGCTTGTGGTTAATATACCCATGCATCAGTTGGTCTATGAACATGTGGATACTGTTTCAACAGTGGTATAAACCTTGTTTGTTTTTTAGGAACCTGATATGTGGCTAGTTCCATAACAAGAATTCTTTTAGGGTGTGAGGTGTCATACTGGCCGATAACACTTTTACTGCTCCTGAGAGATCCTGGAAGATAGGAACTTTCCTTAGCACTTGGCCTAGGACTACAATCAGATGAACAAAACATTTAGCAGCCATGTAACAATTATACTCATAAATATAAGCAGGGAAGATCAACGTCGGGGAAGGGGGACACAAAGTCCCCGAGCCTGCACTCCACCCCCCACAATTAAGTGAGTGAGTTTAGTTTTACGGGGCTTTTAGCATTATTCCAGCAATATCACGGCGGGGCACAGCAGAAATAGGCTTGACACATTGCATCCATGTGGGGAATCGAACCCGGGACCGGCGTGACGAGCGAACGCTTTAACCACTGGACTACCCCACTAACCGTCTCTCACAAGAAGCATGTGTTTCTGGAGCCAGTGCTACGCCATGCTTCCTATAAGGATTCTCTTTATTACGACCAGCAAAAGTTGTTCGGGACCTTTCTTACTCTCTTAGTCCCCACAATTAGGACTGTTCTCGTAGTCTAGTCATACAGCGCTGTGTCGAAGTTACGGTTGTCTCGAAGTAAAAGCTTGGTCCCTGCATATTCCATATGTATTTATGACTATTCGGTTGTGTCAAAGTATTTAGCCTGGAAGTATACTAGCCACATAAAGAAACTGTGCATTGTCCCAGTTGATAAGAAGTACGATAACAATGTCAAAGGTACACATAAACTTTAATGGGGCGATCATGAGACCATAACAAGTCGGGAGAATTTCAATTGAAAAGTCAATCACAATGGCGTCACGAGTCCACAAGCGGGACAGGGGTCAAACGACCATGTCACAAGCTCAATAACGGGTATGTCCACCATCGGCATTGAGAACAGCAGTGCATCGACGACGCATAGAGCCTATCAAACGTGCAAGGAAGGCTTGTGGGATGTCACGCCAGATTCTCTCAAGTTCTGTTGCAAGGTCAAGGACGTTATCTGGCGGATGAGGAAGACGGCATAAACGCCGATCCATCTCGTCCCAAACATGCTCTATCGGGGAGAGATCCGGCGAATTTGCAGGCCAAGGCAGTAAGTCAACGTTGTGGTGTTGCAAGAAATCTATAGCAACCCTTGCCGTATGAGTGCGGGCATTGTCCTGTTGGAACAATAGACCGATCCAGTCTGTCAATCAAAACTGGCGCATGCGTCAATTTTGGCCAATCAGCAGGCCGGGCGCGCTGTGTGGATTTGTCAGACTTATTTCCGGGGTCAAACGATGCCTCCGAAGCGATGTGCTTCGAATTATGCCATTTACACTCGCTATATTTATTACATATTGCTGCAATTTGATGTGTACCTTTAACAAAACAATTAGGTCAAGACAACAGAAATGGAGGCGGATCAAGAAACGCGATAGGCCTAACGATCAGTTAAATGTCTGCACCATCGTTCAGGAAACCTACGTCTGCCCGCTGATGAGAATTTGCACGAATTTCCACACTTTTGCACATGTGCAAAATCATTACCAATTGATGACAACAAATAGCAGTTTAAGACTTTGCAAGTGTTATAATCACGGACAATTCTTGTAACTACAAAATTGTTTTTGCTTAACGTTTTTAGTCACTACTACGCATTGAGTTGGTACGCCATAAAGCTCAAATGAGACAGGCGAGAAAGCCGTGACACAATGTAAACAAATCTCCATTTCAGTTAGGGTCAACCGAAATAGCAAAACTTGTTACATGAAAGAACAATGTGGCGGATATTTGTCCCCCTCCGCGCTTAGATATTGTTCAATTTGTCACACACATTGTAGGATGTTTTAAGTTTCATAAGCACAATCTGATGGCCTACAGTATCTTGTTAACAGAGCAAAATATTCGAGGAGTAATATTTTTTATTCAAACAGAAATATTGTCAGTGTCAGCAGTTGCCTATCATGCAATATCCAAGTATCAAAATTAGTTCATATGAGTGCCTATCAAACCATGCTTTAAATATTTCAGATTTTTTATAAAGAGTTGCATGGGACTTTGAATTGAATTACCTTCCTCCATGTTGATCGAATACGAAAACTATGTGAGAAGAATAGTGACTTTCTGGAGTATTGGACGGTGTGAAATAAAGTGTATATCTTAATTATGAGAACATTATTTGAAGTTTTGTTACCACATAAATTATTCACATATATTGGTACATTTTAGGAGTAATATTACAACTGTAATTTTGATTAATTCACTGGAAATGATAGCAAGGTATGTTTTAAGAATTTAGTTTTTTTTAGTAAACGTGGAAGGGTAATAAAA